TGCAAAATATATGTAAAGTATAGATGACTTTGCTTTTAAAGAGGTACAGAGAATTGACTTTTTTTTTTAGATTTTTGCCCTAGGGTATGTGCTCTCATCAGAGACACACACACACAGGGAGAGGGAGAGAGAGGGAATAAGAAATCACTCCCCAGAAGGAATGGCTACACCACAATCCCTTCTCTTCCATTCTCTTGGGATTTGGGGCAGGCATGAACATGTGCCAGGCATATTTTTCAAGATGCCAGGTCTAGGACTCAAGTCACTGAGTCAGCCGTGGGGGTCCACATCACCAACTGGCCCCAGAAGATTAACTTTTATCTCATAAGAGAGCTAAAGCTGTCATCTCACCTTCCAAAGGGGAATAAGAATAGATGCCTATACCAATAAATCCAACGAGACTGGTAGAGGGACTCTTCATTATTGGAACCTGTCTAGCAGATGCTTATATAGGGATATGGTCTTGGCTACACTTCACATTTAGGAGAAAGCAAAGTGAACTACTTTTAGAAGACAGAGAAAGAAATCAAAGAGTTGATGTGTATACATGTTATCTCATGAGATTCTAATTAATTGTGAGTTCATTTATTCTGATTTCATTATAATGAGAAGAATTAGGATTTCTTCTATCTCATGTTAGTAAAATTAATATTGCCTAGGCTCATTTTGTCATGTATGTTTACACACACACACACACACACCTGCACAAACACACACACAGTGGTGACAAAGAAAAACTCAGAAGCTCCACATGTTGAAAGAACTTTCAAGTATCATCTAGTTCATCTGCAAAATCACCTGGGAAACATTAAGAAAGTAGAATGCTTTCAGCCCTCACCTAGAAATTCTGATTCAGTAGGATGTGACCCATGGTTTGTGAAAAGCTCTTCTGGGGTTTGCTCATGAGCTGGCTGAGCAGCCCCAAGTAGACACTCTTCCCTGTGTAGCCTGGATTCAACTCCAGCCTGAGTCATTCCTAGCCTCTCTTCTCCCCACCCCTTATTTTGGTGATGCTCAGTAACAATTTAATTAAAAATAAAAATACCATAGATAGGAAAAAAGAGTGGTCTACCCTACCTCAGGGGAGTCAAGGGACAGGAGGGTATGGAGTCAATGTCCCTTAACTGCCCTAACTTCCTTCCAGAAGCCTCAGAGTGCAGCCTCCTATTGAAAAATAAGGTTGAGGAGTCATAACCTCTATATTCGCAGACTTTCCCAAGATTGTCCAGGACAGAACTCCGAGTCCTTGGCACCCTGATGAGGTTCTATGAGAGAGTGAATCAGAAAGACCTGTTCTTGAATCCTGGCTCTGTCACATGGGGTTAATAGTTACTTGTGCCTTCTAAGTTGTGGGAGAATTAAATTAGATAACACATCTTGAGGCTAGATCACAGTACATGCTTTCTAGTAAGGACCTGACAAAGCTGAGCTGGAACAAAATGAAGCACCTTTAAAAAGGTGGTGTGGTGGTTAAGGTTCTGGACTCTCAAATGGCCAATCACAGTTTGAATCTCAGGCCTGATGGTTTGTTTTCTCACTTGCCCTCTCTCTGTCTCTCTCTGGTCAAATTAAAGCAAATAAATGAATAAATAAGATTTTTTAAATAATTCTTTGAAAAAAATAAAAGCATCAGGAGAGCAGAGGAAACCTCCTTCTCCATGTGCAACAGTTTTTCCTAGGCTCTCTTCCAAAGACTTCATCAGTGCTGATTTTTCTTGACCTGCTCTCATGTAATGAGTCCAAGCATTTAAGCTGAAGCCTTGTTCTTGGTTGTTTTGTCAATATTTTTTAAAGTATTTTGAAGTGGTAAAAGTTGTTCATTTGTGTGACTACAAAGCATATTTCATTCTGAGACTTGGGAGTATAGGTTAAATAGATGCCCCAAGTAGATTTTCAATTATCCAGCCCTTTCTTATTTAATTAACTTATTGATTAAGCATCTTGTTCCTCTGAGCAGGGACAGTGTCTCTTTCAGCAGGTGATTTTACATCTTAGAAATGACCTCCAGAGATACAGCCAGCATTTCTGCAGCTCTTAGTGGTCAGTCCTGCTGGTGCAGAGGTTTGGGCCACAGAGCAGCAATCAGTGTGTGTGAACAATATCGAACATTTGCAACTGTGGGTTTGCCCTGAGGGAATATGGACCCAGAAATCTGAATGAGACTCTAGTTGGAGGGGCAGCATAGCATAGCACATAAATGCAACTCTTCATTGGAAGGCACAGAATAGACTGAGGCTGCGGAGCAAGTTGGCCTGGCTGGAGTGTGGTGCAACAGTGGCAGGAGATGAAACCGGGAAGGTAGGCAGTGGCCATCTCCTGGAAGGCTTAGAATTCTATGTTAAGGAGTTCAGACTTAATCTTTGGCTAATGGTGACTCAATGGTTTTCTTTTTTCTTTTTTTAAACTGGCAAATTAGATGGTAAGCTTTGCATTTTGCAAGATTATTAGCGCAGTGCTCCTAGAACTTCAGTGTGAACAAGAATCTCATAGTCTTGATAAATGCAGATCCTGATTCAGTAGATCTGAGGTTGGGACTTAACATTTTGCATTTTTTTCTTTTTCTTTCAAAAAAATGTTTAATTATTTATTATTCTTACTTTTTATACATTCAATCACTATACATTGTTTATATTGTAAAGAGACTTTACACAGCATGATATACACCTCAGTCCAGCCCACTTGAAAATACTATACAGGTACTCATCAACAGATAATAAACCATATGTGTGTTCCACAAATGTCTTACCTCTCTATTTTCCCCCCACATTTCCTTTTCTATGCTCTTCCCCACCCACACTCTCCTTCCACTTTGTCTCTAGTGTCCATAACAATTTTCAATGCTTTTATGTCTTCCAGTCTTGCAATCTCTACTGTCAAGTGCAGACAGTTGGTATATGTTAAGTGGAGACATACAATGTCTCTCTTTCATAGCCTGACTTGCTTCACTCAGCAGCAAATCTTCCATATTTGTCCACTTTCTATCAAATTCTAGGGCTTTGTTTTTTTATGGCTGAGTAGTATTCCATAGCGTATATGTACCACACTTTTTGAATCTATTCATCTGTTTGTGGACATTTGGATTGGTTCCATGTCTTAGCAATCATGAATAATGCTGCAATAAATATAGTTCTGCAAGTGCTTTTCCGACTGAGTGTTCTCCTGTCCTTTGGGTAGATACCCAGGAGTGGAATTGTTGGATCATATGGTAGTTCAAATATGAAGGTTTTTGAGGAACCTCCATATTGTTCTCCACAGTGGCCGGACCAATTTACATTCCCACCAACAATTTAGGAGCGTTCTCCTTTCACCACAGCACTTATTTATTTATTTTAATCCTTGCCATTCTGACTGGGGTTAGGTGGTATCTCATTGTGGTTTTAATCTGCATCTCCCTTATGATGAGGGATGTTGAAGATTTTTTTCATATGCTTTTTGTCTGTTCATATGTCATCCTTAGAGAGTTTATTCAGCTCATTTTGCATTTTTTTTTGAGAATTTTTTTTGCTACAGAGCATGTACACTCAGCAGAAAGACAGAGAGAGACAGAGAGACAGAAAGCGAGAAATCACCCCTCTGGGGGATGGCCACGCTGCAATCCCTTCTCCCCCATTCTCCTCTCGGAATCTTGGGCATGCACACACACGCTCCTGGCATGTGTTTAAGCCACCAGGTCTGGGACTTGAACTGCAGTTGACTACGTGGGAGTTCAGTGACATAGCCATTATACCAACTGCTGGTCCCTCATTTTACATTTCTAATAAACTCCCAGGTCATTGCCAATGTAACTGGCCTGTAATTAGTACTTTGATTACCAAATAAATGTAAGAAACAGTTAAAATTATTAAGTGTTTCTTAAACATCAGTGGCATCAAAATCACCTGGGGGCTAGCTAAACTCAGATTGATGGGCCTTATCCCTACAGTTTCTGATTCTGTCACTCTGGTGGGGCCCTAACAAGTTCCCAGGTGATGCTGGTGCTGGTGGTCTGGTGGCCACATTATAAACCCCTGAAGTGGAGGGTTGTAGTGGAGGAGAGTAATACCTATGGGGTGGGTGGGGATCCTGGTCAGGTTACACAGTAACCTTGGTGTGAGAGATTGGGGGCCTTGCCCAAAGTGATACCATTGTGAATAGAAGAGAGAGGGCAGATCAATGCTCAGTGTTGTCAGCAAGGGTTTGTGACTGACCAGCTCTGAGGAAGGGAGAAGAGGGGTGAGGAGGGCCCTCAGTCTCTGGCCTGAGTGGTCTGAGACATGGAGGCCTCCTTCCAAGAAAGGGAGATGCAGCAGGAGGAGCAGGTTAGGGGTGGGCAGTGATGCTGGATTTTAGATGTTTTGAGTGTGCTGGAGAGGCTGACCTGCAGGACTGAGGCTGCTGCTGCGAGAGGAGGAGGGTCTACAGATGGTACCAAAAGGGCTGATAAAAAGGCAACTTAATGTAACTCCATGTGCTTCATTTCCTCTAATCACAAGATGAGGTTATTTTGCCTTTTCTCTTAGGGATGGGGCAAGTGTTGCAATAGTGCACATAAAGCATATTAAACCCATAAAAAGAAAGAGATGTCTTGTTAAAGAGCTTATGCTCCTGTCCTTTCCTCCCAGTCATCCAGAAGTATATGGCAACATGTACTTGTATAACCTGAAGTGAAATATCTGCAGGAACTCGAGGCTGTTTGTTGTACTCTCAATCTTTTATCTCACTTCCGTTCTGGGAGTTTATTTAACAAAGTTCTTTTGTATGTTCTATTTATTTATTTCCTGTGAGAGAGAGAGAACTCAAAAAAGATCTCTCTTGATAGGATCTCACTCTACAATTCTCTCCCCAGCCCTGCAGGTGCCTCTAGTAAGTTGAGGTAAATCTAGAACTTGAACCTGAATCCTTCCCAAATAGTTTCTAGGATCACACAGCAGTTCCCTACTGTCTGCACCACCATGGGTGGGCCTATTTGATGAGGTTTTAAAAACACCTGAAATATTTTACTAAAAAAATTTATGACTCACCTAGATCTCTGTTTAAGGTTTCATCAGGCAACACAGTTAGAAGGTCATGGTCGTCATTGCTTGTGATGCCTTGAAACGTTTTCTCGGTTTTGTGGCATCTTGGGTTTTGATTATTAATCCTTGCCTCCCAGTGAAGATTCTTCTTCAGTTCCATTTGGGCCTGAAAATGATCAGTGATAAATGGTTAATGTTCTCTCCAAGCCATCTTCACCAGAATAGATCAATAGATAAACATTTGATAAGCCATGTGTCTGTCTGCAAATGTCTGTCGCCTCCTGCTAGCAGTTATGGAAACTTTTGTTATTCACAAACTTGTTTAGAGCAAAGTGAGTGTGCCCAGAGTCTCAAAAGGAATGGCTCAATTAAAATGATGATGCCATAGAAACATCTTTGTAGGCTAGCCAATATGTCTGGAATTATACAGGACAGTAACTACAGGCTTATTCCTTATAAGGTAGAATATGGAACATAGCAGTTAAAGGACTTAGTGGTAAAGGAGTTGGTATAAGAGGCCTTTCCTCTTAGATAATTTTGTGGCACAAATTACACAGCAAGGCCTAGGTATTAGAATAACGATGAATTCACTCCCCGAAACCCTTATCTAGCTTAAGTTCCCCACTGGAGTCAGAATGTCATAGAAGTTGTGGCTGGGCTCATGGCCTAGTGGTTAAGGAAGCTGGATCTCACATGAGTGACCATGTGGTTTGAATCCTACCTCTGGTGGCTTGAAAAACATGCTGGGTACATGTGCCTGCATGCCCCAAATCCCAACAAGATAAAGCAATGGAGAAGAGATTGTGGCATGACTACACCCCACTGGGGGTGTATTCCCTGGCCCCTCATTTCTCTGTCTGGTGAGTACTCACATCCTCTGGCTTATACACAAATAAGCAAAAAAAAAAAAAAAAAAAAAATAGAACCAACCTGTTTTTTAAAAAAAGGAGAGTCAAGACATAGATATATCTTTTTTTTTTTTTTTAAGAGGTTTTTGCTATAGGGCATGTGTGCTCACCAGAAAGAGAGAGAGAGACAGAGAGACTGAAAGCAAGAAATCACCCCCCAGGGGGAATGGCCATGCTGCAATACCTTCTCCTCATTCTCCTCTCGGGATCTTGGGCATGGACGCACATGCGTCTGGTGGTGTGAGTTTAAGCCACTGGGTCCAGGACACAAACCACGGTCAACTACATGGGAGTCCAGCAACATAGCCATTATACTAACTGCTGGTCCCAACACAGATATATCTTTGAGGGGACTGCAAATGGAGAAAAAATTCAACAGGGTTGTTAGGAGAAGGGATCTTCTTGATTCTTGACAACCCTGGTGGTTCAAACTTCAGTTCCAATGACTGTATTTAAAATGCTGAGGAGGACTGGATAAGTATGCCTGACTTTTTTCATATGCCAAGACAGTGGTTATGTGGTAAAAATGTAAACATGACCTCTTCTCTCTTCTCATATTTACCTCTTTCCTTTTACGGTTCATTTCCAGCATTTGCATCTTGTGCAAATATTGTCTTTTCCCAGAAGTATACATTGGAGTTTGCATATTCTTTTCCAGTTCTTGCTATGAAAGATAATATGCTCGTTAGTATGGGTTAATTGTCACTGACTGTAATCCACAACCTTAAATCCTTTTTGGAACAGAGTGAGAGCTTAGTCAATGTGTCATAATCCCTAGAGCTCTCTTGTGATGTCCAAGGTGAACTATTGTTTGTCTCTGATAACTCCTTTGTGTCACAATCAATGAATGAAGTGGCACTTTGCCGTGTATAGAATGTAGTTTTTAAGGTTCCTGTGGAGTTTTGCAAGCCTTGGATGGAAATAACTTTTCACATTTCATTTTGACAAGATATCATGTCCCTTGTCAACAGATGCTTAATGCTATCTACCTAGAAATGCATTCTGATTTGATGAAGTCTTCCTTTCTCTACCACTGACCGATCGACTGGCTATGAAATGAGGGGAGAGCCATTGAACGCTTAAATGGAACCCATGTCTATGTGTGTACTTCCATCTGCCAGTATAAGCCCTGGAGAATATTGTAGTTTAGAAAGGACTGGAAGTTGATTATTTGACTCAGATGGTCATCCTCTGTTGCATCATGAACTCCATTGAGACAGTGCAGACAGGTATTGAGAGCAACCAGAGGTGAATGGACCTTCATGTGTAACTTGTCATTGTCAGGAAAGCGAAGAGAGATATGCAGTGATAGCTTTCATGTTGCCTTGTGGACAGTAACTGTTTTAGCTGATGTGAGCCTTGAGGAGGGTCCTGTGTCTGAAGGTGCTGCCAGCACCACAAACATGGCCCTGAGGATGTGACAGTACTGGGACATCTTTAACCAAGTCAGCTGATCATGTGGCAGCATCCCACTGGCTCCAAAATGAATTAGGAATACAAAGTATTGAAACTCTACATTTCCCTGTGAGGGATGCTGTACTCCACAGAGCATTACAAGGGTCTGGCAGAAACAAGATCTATAGAAGAGCTTTCCCGGGATTACGTTTGGGTGAAGTTGTGGCAGATAAATCAGGATCACATTGTACTGGGTGGTCAGGAAAGTCATGACACGTTTTTACATAGAAAAACAGAAAAATACATCACGACTTTCCTGATGACCTAACAGATAAGATTTTTCCTGCAAACTGAGACTGCCGAGAGAGTTTTAAACTGAAAGGAAGAATGAAAATGAGGAGTCATGGAGACTTTTTCACAGATTTGAAAACTAGAGTAACATTTTCCAAGTAAAGTTTCTCTCTTTCATGACATTACTCTGTTTTTACCATAAAGAAAAAAAGAGCCTTGAGCTTACCTAAAAGGTAAGGGCATTGCCAGTTGCAGGCAGGCAAAGGAGAGAATGACAGCTTTGTAAAGGTCTATCTCTGAATGACTTAGCAGTTTGATTTGTCTTCAAACTCTTCCATGTAAGGAGTACATGAAAAGGACAGCTTGCCCTAACGCATGCAGCCCTCTCCTAGTTAACCACCCTCTCTGGTTACTGCTGCAGCTCACCTTTGCTTGCAGCTCACCTTTGCTTTGTGCATCGTCCTGGCTTCTCGCTGGCTCAGGAGCCTTTCAGAGGTAATTGCTTGTGGCAGGTCAATGGGTTCAAGCTTCTAGAAGTCCAACATTTAGAGTATTCAGCATTCCTCATGCCATGAGATGATGAAACACAAAAGCCAGACATTAAACTATCTTAACACTTTGCAAAAGCAGCACTTATTCTTGAGCGTGTACAGGAAGGTGATTACAACAGCATGACAGTTGTATCTGTGCAAAAGGCCTTTCAACCTCTCTGGGTTCTTTATTATTTCATTGCAAGGTTGCTAGTGACTTACGAGTCTAGATGTTGGTCAGGTAGTTAGGAGACTGAGAATACGTTTCTGTCTGCACCTTGGGGCCACATACAAAGTTATTAAACAACCAGGATTTTAGAATATTGGGGTTGAAAAAGGCATAAAGAAGTTGCTTTATTTCATTCATTCCTTAGCCACCCAGCAGATAGATTCTAGTCCTATAGGAATTGACCTGTTTTTAAGAGCTCCAGAGAAGCTCCCTCAGTCTCCTTAGTAATAATCACTGGTGATTATGAGACAAATTTAAAATGGAAATGCAATGTGCTAGCAAATTGTAGAGACCTCTTTCTCTAGTTGAGACTTGGCTTTACAGGGAAGATCATGATGGTATTTCAAGCAGTCACTAAGACTGGGCAGCAATTCATGTCAATGAGTCTGCCTTTAGCTCTTCTTCCCTGAGATGACTTAAAGTTCCACAGGCCCTGAGAACCAACTGAGCAGGGTTGGGAGACACAGATTGGTCTCTTCATATCAAAGGTTGCCAGTAAATCACCCAAAGCTAGGGAGGAGACATGGGACAGATTCTTTCTCATAACCCTCAGAAAAAAATAGCCCTGAAGGCGCCTTGATCTCAGGTGTATTAACACTCCCTCCTCCACCCCAAACAGGGAGACAATAACATTCTGTTGTTTAAAATCATTCAGTCTGTGGTCCTTTGTTATAGCAGCTTTAGAAAACTAGTGCAGAAAGGAAAGGAGGCAGTCCAAGACATTTTTTTAGGAAGGAACTTTTTGCAGAAATTAGAAGATTGGTTGCTTTTAGGGAACTAAAATGTGCTTCATCCTTGAGGCGGGGAGACAGCATGATCCATTAAAGGAGCTGGAGGAAGTCAGTTGGTTGCAGTGTAAAGAGAGAAAAAAAGTGGCTCAAAATGAGGCTGGAGAGCTTAGACAGGACCCAGGTTATTCAGGGCCTGGAAGCCATTCTAAAGATGTTGGTCATCAGAAGAGAAATGGGAAGCCCTTGACATGTGTGAAACAAAGTAGTGGCATGATTAAATTTGCTTTTAAAAATTTATTTTATTTTACTTTATTTTTTTAGAGATTTTTTGCTATAGGGTGTGTATGCTCACCAGAGAGACAGAGAGACAGGGACAGAGATACAGGAAGCAAGAAATGACCCCCCAGGGAGAATGACCACACTGCAATAATTTCTCTTCCATTCTCTTCTTGGGGTTTTGGGCACACACGCACATGCATCTAGCAGGAGTTTTAAGCTGCTGGGTCTGGGACTTAAACCATGGGCGACTATGTGAGCATCTAGCAATATAACTATTATACCATCTGTTGGTCCCTATATTTGCTTTAAGAAAAAAAAATATGATCACTGTAGCTGCACTATGAAAGCTAGATTAGAGAAAAGCAATCTTGGGGGCCTGATAGTGACCGAGTAGTAAAATGCAATGTTCTGTAAGCCAGTCCCACATGAGGAAATTCATGGTTCAAGTCTGGAGGCCTCCCAGAGTATGCTGGGCATACCCTTGCCCATGATCTGGGACTGGTTAAAGGTTTGGAGTGTATTGTAGAATCAATATCCTTGGGGTTACTATCTCTCTTTCTTGTTTGCTTTCTCTCTGATGAAATAAACTTTTTTTAAAAAAGAGCAATTATGGATGTGGGGAAAGAAATGAGGAGGACAAAGATGATGGACTAGGATGGATGGAGGTAAACTGACAGGCTCTGCAAATATTTAAACTTGACTTGGTTGGTGAGGTAGAGTGAAGTTTCCAAACGACAGTCAATAGAAGGGATAGATGGCGTTATCACTTATTAAGATGGGAATTCCTGGTTTAGATGGGACATACAGGGAAGATACAAAATTGGTTTAGAGCAGGTTGAGTTTAACACAATCTTGAGAAATACCAGTGTAAATATTGAGTAGATAATTAGTTACACAGGCATGAAGCTCAGAGAAGAGGTCTGTGTTGGAGATGTGTTTTGGAGAATATTCCCAAGACAGAACATGATTGAAAACATACCATGGGTGGACCAGCCAGCAGCCTGGTTGTTAAGGTAGCTGGATCCCACATAGTGAATGCATGGTCAAGTCCAAGACCCAGCAGCCTGAGAAGCATGTTTGTTCATGCATGCCCAAATCCCAAAAGAAGAGAGCATGGAAGAGAAGGGCTTGTGGCATGACCACGCCCCATGGGAGGTGCTTTCTCACTTTTTCTCTCCCTTTGGTGGGCACATTCACCCTCTGGCAAAAAAATGAATAAATAAATAAAATAAAAAAGAAAGGATGCCATGGGCAATGGCAAGAGTGAGAAGGATGACGTTAACAGCTACAGACCTGAGGGGCTCCAACAGTGAGAGGCTGGCGGGCAGGATTAGCTGGCCAAGGAGATGGAGAAGTGTTGGCTCAAGAAGTAGAGGGAAAACCAGGAGGATGTCAAGCTGCAGCAAACTATGTGAATACTACTCCTACCTTAGTTTAAAACTAAATGCAAATGCTATTTAATTAAAAATTGGTATGATTTGTTGCATTATCAAGGAATAGACCTGGAAACTAGCTTGGCTTTCAAGGTGAGCAGGGTGAAAATAGACAGCAGGACCACAGAAAATACAGGTTGAGCATCCAGCACTTGTAATGGGGAGAAAGCATGACCTGGGCTCCCACTGCTTCCTTGTATAACTGTTTTCTCCAGGACTGAACCTCACTTGTTCTGGGGGAAGCGGCCGGCAGTCTCTTCTGCCAGAGCAGCCCAAATTTAACCTGGCAAGGAGGAAAAAAAGGGCAAAGCATATAGGGGCAGGGAAGAGATGCCAAGGAGAAAGAACCCATCCTTTTTGTTTTGTCTTTTTTTTTTTAAGTTTATTTATTTTTAAATTGATCTTGTGTGTAGCATAATGTTTTGAAGTATCTATGGATTGTGGAATGGTTAAATTTAGGTAATTAATGAATGTATTATCTCATAGCTATCATTTTTTATGGTAAGAACACTTAATATTCACTTTCGTAGCATTTTTCCAAGACAATATTGACATTAGCTGTAATCACCAGGCTGTACAATAGATCTCTTGAACTTATACTAACTAACTATAATTATGTATCCTTTGATCAACATATTCCCAACCTTCTCTCCTCCTCACTACCCCAGCCACTGGTAATAACTATCTACTCTCTACTTTTATGAAATCAATGTTTTTAGGTTCCACATCTGAGTGAAAATATGTAGTATTAGACTTTCCATGTCTTTCCTTTTTCTTTTTTCTTTATGAGAAAGGGAGAAAGAAAGGGAAAAGGAGAGATACAGTGAGAGGTATCCTTGACAAGGTCTGACTGTATTATGGTCCTCCTGCTTCAGCCTCCCAATTAACCAGGATTACAGACACATACAACCAACCCAGCACATTCAGGTTGGCCTGGGAACCAAACCCCATGCAGCTTCTAGCCTCTCAAGTGGTAGTGTTTCCTGTGCACTGCCGCTGTGGCTTGGTCATGCACTTGATCATTTAATGGTAGAAGATCTCATCTTTTTTTTTTTTTTTTTTTTGAGAGGTTTTTGCGATAGGGCACATGCGCTCGCCAGAAAGACAGAGAGAGACAGAGAGACAGAAAGTGAGAAATCAACCCCAAGGTGGACGGCCACGCCACAATCCCTTCTCCTCCATTCTCCTCTCAGGATCTTGGGTATGCATACACACGCACCCGGCGTGAGTTTTAAGCCACCGGTCCAGGACTCGAACTGCAGTCGACTACATGGGAGTCCAGCGACATAGCCATTACGCTAACTGCTAATCCCAGAAGAACTCATCTTTATGTTAGATATGTATCAGGTAATTTACATTTGTGGTAGGAAGTATTTCTCTGTGCCATTCTCATCTCAGATGAGGAAGTGGGTCTTTTTTTTTTTGGAGAGGTTTTCGCTATAGGGCACGTGTGCTCGCCAGACAGACAGAAAGAGAAATAAAGACAGAAAGTGAGAAATCACTCCCCAGGAGGTTGGTCACTCTGCAATCCCTTCTTCTCCATTCTCCTCTCGTGATCTTGGGCATGCACGCACATACGCCCGACGTGAGTTTTAAGCCACCAGGTCCGGGATGGGAACCGCGGTCAAGTACGTGGGAGTCCAGTGACATAGCCATTACGCTAACTGCTGGTTCCCAGGAAGTGGGTCTTTTAACATAATTTCACAAAGATGTAACGGGAGGTGATTGATACCAGATACCGTTGTAGTAAGAGAAGCTTGTTCCCATGGCTGTCAACACTGCAAGTTGAGAAGATGTAACGCAAATGGGATCAGCTGCAAGAAGTAGCAGCTGATTAAGCCAAAACACAGAGAGATGAGAAGGAAGGGAAAGGGAGACCAAAGAAGCGTCCTGCCAGGTACCTATGGGAGGAAGAATCAGCTATGGCTAAAGGAGGATTTCTGGAAGTGTTTGTACCATCCTCTGGACTAGGAGAGTGTGCAGGATTCAGCCCTTTCTGATAAAGCCTGTGGGACTTGGCAGCCATTGCTCACATCACACCCAAGTTATAAATATGTCACCTCACTCAATCCTCATGTGAACTTTTGCATAGTTAAGATGATTGCCTATGCCAGAGAGGTTAATGATCTAAGTGTGCATGGCTAGTAAGTGGCATCTCCATGACTCAATTCACATCTACCCAGTTCTAAATCTCATGCTTTATTCTCCACTATTTGTTCACCAAAATTTTATCCTCAGATTCTCTTGGAATTAAGAAAAAAAATTTCCGGGTCATTCACTGGAGTTTGAGACTCAACAGTTCTGAGATATGTCCTGAGAATACAAATA